ACCCGTGGGATCAGCAGGTTCGGGCTCGCGGGGGATGCTCAATGATTTGCCTGGCAAATCCCATGTATGGGGCTGCCCGGAGCTCTGACGGGGCCTCTGGCGGTACCTTCTTGGCGCTCTGGCGAGGCCTTCCAGGAGGTGAAGGAGGGGCACGAACCGTGACAACTTGTATAGTATAGCCACACCCCGCTTGCTCGGGCGGGTCCGCCCTGCAAGGGTTGGAGGAGCAAGAATCGCGCGAAATAGTATGGTGTAGGGATGCCCTGCTGGGGGGTTTCCTTGGCGCTCTGGCGGGGCTTGCCCAAGAGAGGGGGGGAGCACGAAACCTGAGGACAAATATGGTATAGCCACACCCCGTGCGCTCTGACGAGGCTACCTCGGGTGCGGTGGGAGAAGCAAGACATAACAGGGACTGTATATGATATAACAACACCCCTCTCGCTCTGCTGGGGCCGCCCTTGAGGGGTGGGAGGGGCAAAGCAACTTGTGAAATGATAGGGTGTAGCGATGCCCCGCTCGCTCTGGTGGGGCCTGTTTGGCGCTCTGGCGGGGCCGTCCCAGGAAAGGAGGGAGGAGCACGAAAGCTGAGGGGTGAGGGGAGGAAGGGGAGAGAGGAGGGAATGGAGGCAAGGGTGATAAGGGGGCGGGAGGGAAGGAGGGACGGAAAAGGGGAGGCCTGGGCCATCTGGGCCGTCTTGGAACGCCTGGGGCCTCCCGCTCCCGTTCTGTGGCCCAACTTGGGCCTGTCCTGGGGCTCCCTTGGGCCGTCAGGGGCTCCTCCTGGGCATTGTTCGGGCTCCCTGGGGCCGTCTTGGGGCTCTTTGGGGTGCCTCGTCGGCGGTCTTGGGGCGGTCTTGGGGGCGTCTTCGGCCGTCTTCGAGCATTGGGAGCTCGAGACCGCGAGAAAACGGAAAACATCGAACAAACCAATGCAAATCAATGATTTGGGACTCTTTGGGCTGCCTCGGGACGTCTCTCGGGGCTCTCTGGGCCCTTTTGGAGGCCTCTTGCGCTGTGTGTTTGCCGTCTTGAGCTCCTCTGGAGCCACGTTGGAATCATCTGGGCCGTCCTGGAGCGCCTTGGGGACTCAACGTCACGCGCGCAGGGACAACAACCTAATGCGCAGAGGGCACCCCGTGAAGAGCTGGGGCTGCTCTTTAACTGAGGGGGGGGAATGGGTCAGGAGGGGAACCTCGACCTGGCATCGGCGACGCATCGTCGATAGATCGGCGATCGGCTCTCGATAGTGAAGGCCGACGTTCCTGGGCATAGGGTGGGGGCTGCATCGACCTGGCACAGGGTAGGGGCGCAGGCCAGGGGCAGGGAGGGGGGGCAGGGCCCCCAGGAGGGCGGGGGCCAGGGGGGCAGGGATGGGTCCGTGGGCACGGGCAGAGGAGAGGCAACGATAGGGGGGCTGGCATTGGAGGAACAAAACACCACATAAACATATACTGTTGGAGGTCCACGCGGATCTCTTGGATCCGCGCCGCACCCCTCCCCGGCGCGCGGAGCGCGCCAGGGTCGGTGCTGGAGGCGCCGCCGGGGGGGCCCAGCGCGGATCAACGAAAACCGCGCGGGGCGTAAACCGTTTACATGTATGGCGTGTTTCCTTCTTCGAGACATGGGGGGGTAAGCATCGACCTGGAATCGGCGATACATCGCCGATAGATCGGCGGCGGTAGGCCTCCGATAGCCAATCCGCACCCTCCTGGGCGGGTTGGCGCTATCGGCCCCCATCGGCGATCAATTGGCGATGGGGGCCCCCTGTCGTTGCCCCGGATAAACCCGTGCAGTCACTTACGGTCGGGCAAACTGTACTCTCACGGTCGTGCAATTGCGCTGGGCGGTCGTCAAAGGCCAGGGCTGCTCTTCAACATTACGGTCGTGCACTGTACAACATACAACACCGCAGCGCCTCACAAATGCGGAGAAAGGTGGAGGGGCGGTCACGGGTTGGGTCGCCGGTGGGTCGCGAGGTGGGTCGCGGGGTGGGTCGCGGGTGGGGGGGCGGGTCGCGAGTGGTACGACGACAACAACATGCAACAGACAACAGAAAATCCGCGCCGCGGATCCCCACTGCAGCCACGCACCCAGGAATGGCGTAAGCCCCCTCGGCCCCCTCACCTTTGGAGAGGGCGACGGGGAAAGCCGGCGCCATGCACGAGGGGGTGGTGCAACCAAGAGGGATGGAAAGAGGGATGGTGAGGGGACTAGGGTTAGGTCGGGCATGTCCTCCTACAAGCGGATTTGGGACGAAAGCGAAACAATAGGTCAAGACAAATCAGAGTATAATCAAACATAGTCGAACTATCGTCCCTAGACTATTGTTTCACCATTTTTGAATGTTCCTTCTGTAGAGGGACATGCCCGACTTAAGACCAGGGGAGTGGGAGAGGGGAAGGAAGGAGGAGGGAACAGGACTTCGCACATGGATTCTTGTTTGCGGGGATGCCCGACATCCACGGCCCCCTCCCGGCAAAACCTCCCGCGGCATGCCGAAGGTTGACCGCTGCCAGTGTAGACCGCCGCCAACGCACCGTCCCTAGTTTCCTTTTGAATTCCAAAAACTGGTTCTTTCATTCAACCAACGTCTTGAGTTCGAAAACGTCCCCGTAGGCATCCTCCTCCCGCCGCTTCGATGTGCAGCCGACGACCTCGGCGAGCGGAAGCACGGGAGCCACCCAGGAACAAACGGTGGCCATCCCTCCTGGCCCTCTGACGGTGACGGCCTTCCACTGCGGCCCCCCACCTCCGAGCAGCGCGGCGCCATCGGCGAGGCGACAAGCCAGACAGTCATGCGGAACATCCTGGAGGCCCCGCACGGCAGCTTCAGAACCCCGATTTGCGTCGGGTCAACGTCGGATTTACGTCGGGTTCTCGTCGGACTACGTCGGAATTATACGTCGGACTTACGTCGGACTGACTCCGGAGCATCGCCGCGCGAGCGTCGACCCACAACTTACGGAGCTGACGTGTGGACTAGATGATACAACTATTACGCGCCGCGCGAGGCCTCCAGGATTTTCCGCATAAAGACATATCTGAAAGGCTAGAACGCCACACGCGAATCACTTCCTGTCCTGGCTTCCCATCGCACCCCCCGTTGCAACCACGCTTGCGCATGTCTACTGTTCTGTCCCTACTGAAGACGATGGTTGACTACCCCGGACATGATGCACCCTGGTGCGCAGCACTGGAAGCGGCCGCAAGCGCATTGTGGGGGGCACGGAGGAGGGGATGGGGCTGGATCCGGGCGCTGGGCGCCGTATACCCAAGCTCCCTTGGCCGCTGCCTTAACATCGCAACTTGAAGCCATTGCCACGGGCTCTTTCCAATACTGAGGCGATGTGCAACCGCTCTATGACACTTCCTTCTATACCTTCCCTCCTGGTCATTCTTTTTGCCTTCCGCGCGGGCGCCACGTGATCCTCGTCTGTTTTCATACCAATTGACACCAGCGTGGCGGCCCAGCGCAGGGGGAATTGGAGAAGGCTGCCCGCCAGGCCGCATGCAACATCCTGACAAGACAGCACAATCCGAATAAGATAAGATGCATACGCATGTCTCATGGTGATGATCGTATGGAGATGCATCTGATGACCGTAACCGCGATAAGTCTTCCGACCCCCCAGTACGGGGGTAATTAATTACTTGTCGGCGGCCTTGTTAAAAAACTGGGGTCTCACCAATAGGGGGTACCTTTATTATTTTTGTTCCGTGGCACCCGCCTTGCAACGACGACGTCAGTTAGGAGGAGGAGGAGGAGGAGGAGGAGGAGGAGGAGGAGGAGGAGGAGGAGGAGGGGGGGGAGAGGGGGGAGGAGGAAGAGGTTTTAGGACCAGTCCGATTCGCCGTCGAGTGAAAAGTGGGGGGGGATCAAGAAGCAAGACTAGAGACCTCCCGAGGCTACGATGAGCGCATTGTGTTACACGCCTTATGGCAATGAGCGGAGGATGATGGTATGTCTCAGGGCTGGACCTAAACGTCCTGTCTCGTTTTGTTATCGTTCCGTCTGTCGTTCTGCTCTACCTGCTGCCACGTACCTCCCTCCCGAAACGAAAAACAAAACGCAACCGAAGTCCAGCAGAACAGCGTTGAGGTCCAGCCCCGATGTGTCTGTCGATACAGCCTCGGGCCCTTTCACGGGGCGGGCGGCACAAGCCCACGGAGCGACGCTGCAGGAGGAGAGACGACAACTGCACGATGAGTGGCATGGGACGCGCAGAGACACACTGCCAACCCTCGCCAGACATGACCTCAAAGATGTCTTACGTGGCTGAACTGTTGGTGGGGAGATATTGGACAGAGTAGCGATGACTGCGAGGTACTTGTATGCACCGCCCCTCCAATGTCGGTCATCATCGAACTTTCGAATCGTTCCCGGTCAGACCACCTTTGCCCTGGCCCCGACAGAGAAGGGGCGTCGTATCGACACTGAATGGCGCGCCGACATCGCAGGCGCGTGTTCACCATTGTTGAGGTTAGTTTTGACGAGGGTAGTGATACTATATGTCCTCCTTGGCGGCGCGCGTCCGACCCGAACACATAGTAGACCCATCTTGTAGCGCATCGTTTCCCGAGCGGTGTGGCCAAAAAGCGCCCGCCACAACGCATCGATCATACGATTTCTCAAAGCGCGCGTCGCTCCTGGAAGGGCGACGCACACATAGTTTTGGTATGCTGGGGTGACGCCGATGACATACCGCGGACCCAGACGGCGCGAAAACAGTATCAATAATGAACAAGAACGTGAGACCCAACGCCACGGCATGGTAATTGCATGATGCACGACCAACCGAAAGACCAAACGACGCGATACATGTGTAATGGATCACCCGACTTCCGCGAGATCATAGGTCGTGAGGTATGCATTCTGGATGGTGTCGCGACGTGAGAACAACATCACCAACTTACCGCGATATCAAACGACATGGCAACTGCATTATGAATGACCCAACTACCGCGAGACCAACCGACGGAATAAATGCATAATGAATGGCCTACCGCCTCATCGTAGCAAAGTTGAGGACGGCCCGCTTCACTCGGCGCAGCATCTGGCGCCAGCAGCGAGAGCTCAACGAAGCTGAGAGTGCAGACACCAGGCGGGGGAGGGACAACTGCTGGGGTGGAGATTGCATATAAAGGGGGAGCCATGGAGCATGGAACAGGATCCACCTGGATCTGCAGAACGAGTCACTGGGAATGGGGCCTGGGTCAGGATGGAATGGGGTGTGGCGCGGAGGAGGGTAGCGGAGGGAGGGGCGAGGAGGAGGAGGAGGAGGAGGAGGAGGAGGAGGAGGAGGAGGAGGAGATGGAGGAGGAGGAGGAAGAGGAGGAGGAGGAGGAGGAGGAGGAGGAGGAGGAGGAGGAGGAGGAGGAGATGAGGAAAGCAGAGCAGAGAAAGGGAGAGGGCGAGAGTGGAGAGGGACTTTGGCCGTGGACGGCTCGAGGCAGGCTGCACGCTCGGAGGCGAGGAGGTCTACGCGGAGGGCGGGGGCGTGAGGAGGCGAATGCGGGAGGCTGCGGGAGGCGGGAGCGAGAAGCAGAGGGACGATCAGCGAGAAGCAGCGGGACGATCAGCGAGAAGCAGGAGGAGAGTGCGGGAGGCGGGAGCGAGAAGCAGGAGGAGGCTGCGGGAGGCGGGAGCGAGAAGCAGAGGGGTCGGAGGCAGGGACGAGAGGGGAGGCGAAGGCCCACGCGCACGGGAAGGGTGAGAGCGGAGGAGTGCGGCAGGGGCGACGGGACTACACACGGGGGCTGGAGGGAGGGCTCACCGCCGCATGGCCTCCGAGCCCCCCCCCCCACGCTCCAGCTGAAGAGGCCCATGGACACACAAATAGTCGAATACACACAAATCCCAAGATTCCCGTATTTTCTGGTATTTTCTGACTTTTCGTCTTCCCCCGCATTTCCAATGTTTTCCTATATTTCCTGGGGAATCGTCGATTCATTGTGTCTGTGTGTTCCCCCCCCCCCCTCCCCAGCCGTGGCGGACGCCCGCGGCATGTTGCGCTGGCCACGGCGACGGCCGAGAACCCGACCGGCGCTGACCGGCGGCACCGAAAAAACACCCACCGACACCGACAGGCCGCGGACAGCCCAGCCCCGATCGGGTCGGACGAAAGGGGGGGCTAGTGAAGATCACGTACATGAAGGGGCCCAGGGACATACGCAAAAAAACACACACACACAAATCCCAAGATCCCCAATATTTTCTGATAATTTCTGGACTTTCGTCCTCCCCCCACTTCTCATATTTTCCGGGGGGTCGACGAATAATTGTGTCTGGATGATTTTTCCCCTCCCGAGTACAGTCAGCTCGTCGCATGAGGACGCACAGCAAGGATGCAAGGGCCTCGAAGGGCCCTGTCGACACTTTGCGAGCGGGGCGCGGCCAACGGATGCGTCCGAGGGTGGGCTGGAGGGGAGGGATGCTATGGGTGACCTTGGAAAGTTGCTCATCCTTACTATGCGGGTTGACTGCAGTAAAGATCATGCAACCTCGTCTCTACCAGCGGGGGGCAGGGGCCGAAACTGTGGCAGAAAATCGGCCCGAATGTGACCGAAACCTGCGCCCGCACTGTTCCGAGAGTGCCCGAGCGTGACCGGACTTGCCAATTCGAAGCCACTGCGACCTCCTGTAACGCTGCAACGGTTTCGGCCACAGATTCTGGCGCGCTCTCGGTCACATCTTTTCTGTCGGTCACAAACTTTTTCGGCTGATAGGGGCTGGGCGCCATGATTAAGGGGGGGGTCTTCGAATCAGCTCTCTCTTGGCTGTCTGTCCCGGCGCCTCCTGGCGCCTGGAGGCACCTGGGCGGAGGGGCCGAAACCAGCTGCACGAGAACGGCGCCCATGCACCGTGCTGTGTTTGGACTCCCTCTGATCACAGGAGATATGTCGACACCTGTCCCAGGCTTCGTGGGGCCTTCGAATGGACCAGAAATGCAGAAATGTGGGGCTCGGCCCCAGGATATACGATGAGGGGGCGTCCAGCCTCGATGGGGGTGCGTCCGAGTGGCTCCCTTGGAATGGGTTTCCCTCCTTCTCGGAGCGGCTTGCCTGCGATCTTGGGCTCCGCCCGGAGGCGGTACGGTGGAAAATGTTTCTGGTCCTCAGGGCCCAGAGACTATGCACCGTACCATTCCTGGGTCGAGCCGAGGATCGACGTCGCTCTGGGAGACGCCATAGTGCACACGAAAATCGTCCGGCACTGGGGTCGATAGATCTGTCGATGATCCTTAGAACGTGTGTTTGCGCCAACGTATGCGTGTCCGCCGAAGCCCTTCAACTAAGGCGTCTCCATAAGGCCCGACACAGGATGCGCGAGGTCGGCGGAGGTGAGCGGGGTAAAAACACGTTGAACTAACGCACGTCCTGAGGGTCATCAACTCAGGAAAAGGAGCGACGGTCCTTCCCCTCGCGCTGATCGTTTTTTCCCGCAACATCCTTTGTTACCTGCGTCTGCCCTCCGCATGCCGATCCGGCACACCCCTCACACGCTTCGTGGCCCCACAAGGAGCTCCACCGAAAGCCCACTGGCTGCGTTCGCATGGCACTTTCGCGCCCATTCTGGCACACCTCTCGCACGTTTCGTGGCTCCATGAAAAGCTCAGCCGAAGGCCCCAATGGTGTTCGCATGGAACCGCTGCGCTACTTTCGTCATACCCGTCACACGTTTCGTGGCCCCATAGGGGGCTCCACCGAAGGCCCCAAAGGCTGCGTAGCATGGCGCCGCCGCACTCGTTTCGGCACACCCCTCACACAAGTCGTGGCCAGGTAGGGAGCTTCACCAAAGGCTCCAATGGCTGCGTTTCCATGGCTCCGCCGTGCCCATGTCGCCATACCCGTCGCACGTTCGTGGCCCCGTAGGGAGCTCCACCGAAAGCCCCAAAAGCTGCGTTAGCATGGCACGGCCGTCCCCATTTCGACACACCCCTCGCACGTTCGCGGCCCCATAGGGAGCTCCACCGAAGGCCCCAGTGGCTGCGTTCGCATGGCAACGCCGCGCACACTTCGGCACACCCGTCAAACGCTTCGTGGCCCCGTTGGGAGCTCCACCGAGGACTCCAGCGGCTGCGTTCGCATGACACCGCCGCACCCGTTTCGGCAAAGACCTTACGCGCTTCGTGGCACCATTGGGAGCTCCAGCGAAGGCCCCAGTGGCTGCGTGCGCATAGCACCACCGCCCCCGATCTGGCACACCCCTCACACGGTTCGTGGCACCAAGGGGAGCTCCACCGAAAGGGGCACACACGCACAACGCGGTACTCACAACTGCATCTGGCTGGGTCCTTCGCCAGGAAAATATGGTTTGTTTTCCATGTAGGGCACTCATGGCTGGGTTCGGGGCATCTGTGTTTGACGCTGCGCTCTCCCCCTCCAACCAGTGCTGACGGCACACAGCTGGTGCGGAGGCGCACCCTAGACTGCTCCATGGTCGCAGCGGGGGGCCATACTTCAGCGGCGAGGGGACGGGCGACAACAAGTGTGGTACCCCCCTTCCCATCAACACACAGTGTGCGACGTCCTCGACACTGGGGGAGCCAAAAGATACTGATACCGTCACTCCCCGGACCTCTCCTGGGGTGCTTTCTGACCAGAATTTCGAAACGAATCCAACGGTGGCGACGAGGGCATCCGAGGAGGCCCGAGACGGGGAAATCGGGGGAAGGGTATAGGTATGGGCACCTTTTCCTCATCTGAGACACTGCCCCATCTGGGATCGGTCTGCTCCCCACAGGGGGAGAGCACTGCGCAACGCTCGCCTTCTGCCGAAGCAAGATCTCGCTGGCCCCCTCGTGTGGCGCCGCCCCTCCCCGTAGTGGGCGCACCGCGTCGCCCGGGCCACCGACGGGCATGAGGTGAAGACCGCGAAACTTCGGCGGCGAGCGAGGGGGGAAACGAGGAGAAGGCCTTCTCAGAAGGCGGCGGGACTTCTCAGAAGCCCACGCGCCTTCTGAGGGTTTTTATGTGTCTTCGGGGGAGGGTTAGAAAACTTCTCAGAAGGCCGGGACATCCGAGCCTTCTGAGTTGCAACATTCGGAGACAAAAGAAAAGACATAAACAACAACTTTTGGCGATCCGCGCGGTTCTCTTGGAATCTGCGCTGGACTCACCTCCCCGGCGCGCGGAGCCAGGGGCGGCGCTGAAGGCGCCGCCAGGGGCGCCCGGCGCAGATCCAAGAAATCTGCGCGGAGCGCCGAAAATTCATGCTTATGCCGAATTCCGTCTTCGCAACATCGTGATCAATCACGACCGGAACTCTAAACTGAGCAGCCTCGAACTTTTCCGTACCCCGAAGGTCGGCAGGCCACAAGCGATGGATGTGCCCTCGGAAAGCGAGGCAATCCTCGATGTCGGCGCCGAGGTGAGGTGATGCCAAACATAGGTACTCTAGATTTCGTAATAAAGGGAGGGGGGTCTCATTTCGGGGGGGTCTCTTCCAGGCTATCTTGGAGGGCCTGGGGGGTCTGGGGACGATGTTTTGGAAGGTTCTCCCACGGGGGAGGTCTGAAATGGCTTGTCTTGGAGGGTCCAGACCCCCTCCCTTTTATTACGAAATCTGGAGTATACAAATGTGTTTCAAACTAGTAGTCGACCCCATTGTTCTGCTGCACTTCTCGAGCAAGATCGACCCGTGATGGCCCCGGGGCCCCAGACCGTGCGAAGACGCCCAGCGCGCAAAACCTGCAACGCCCTGCAACGCCCTGAGTGAGGAGGGGGTGGCTGCCAGCGAAGACGATCGAGGGCTGGGAGCACTACTCCTCCTCCTCCTCCTCCTCCTCCTCCTCCTCCTCCTCCTGTACACCGCCTCCAAGGCAGGGTGGTCTGGCACGAGTTCGTGGACAAATTTTGCACCCCCTGGGGGGCACGATTTCTGTACAACATCCCGACGAACAAACTGATGCGGCACAAGGTACGCGCGCGGGGGCGGTGACCATAGATGTTCTCCCGATCTTGTGGTGTCCCACGCTAGAAGCGCTCCAGCATCGAGGCTATCTGCCATCCTCCACTGGAGGCCGCGAGGCAGCAGGAGGAGGGAGGGGGGAGAGATACGAGGACGATCGAGGGTGTCCCGCACTCAGCGCTCCAGCACCGAGGCTGTCCGCCATCCCCCGCCGTGAGGCCGCGAGGCGGCGCTCCCGCACCAACACAGAAGACCCCGCTCCCCTGCACAGCCCTGGAAAAATAATGCAACTTCGATCGTCAATTTGCTTGTTCCCGTCGCCCCCGGTTTTTCGCAGTTCTTTTGGCCCAGGGAGGTGCTTTCGGGCCCCGGGACCATCAGGAACGGACCCAGGACGAACAACTACAATCAAACTGATAGTAAGGATGCGCCGTAATGATGCAAGCGCCTTGGACGCCCGTGTCGAAGCTTTTCGAGCGGGGCTGGCTATCGAGAGTGGTGATGGATGAACCGAAGAGGCAAGGATGCAAGGGTACACTTGGGAAAGCAACCTATCCTTAGCATCGATTTCGACTGCACTCGCGGGCGAACAACATATCCGTACCCGCGGCCTCGTGGGCCGGGCCCCTGGGCCGCGACCCCGCGGATACGGGGCGTTTGTGGGCGGATTCCCCGCGCGGAACGTACCCGTGTGACCGCATATTCGCAGTATCGCGCCCCAGAATCCAGACCGCGAGAGGGGCGCGGATGCAGATGCGTTCGCCGCTCGTGATGTACCCGCGCGGCAGGGGAGAAAGTGAGAAGGGATGGGCCTTCTCAGAAGGCTCGGAAGTGTTCCGACCTTCCGGGGAAAGTTCGAAGGCTTCCCCGAAGACGCAGAGCACTTCTCAGAAAAGGCCAAAAAGGACTTCCGAGAAGCCCCGCCGCCTTCTGAGAGGGGGCCTTCGCTTTTGGGTCATAGCTCGGGTCGCCTGCGGCCGTTCGGGACGATCGGGGCACCCCCAGAACGCCCTCGGCGAGGCGCAGCCGCTGGAACGCATCCCGAGGCTGGAAAACCGACGGGAGACGACGAAAACGCTAGAAAACCTCCAACCTCGAACCCGATACCTTCCTCCCCTCGCTCGCCGCCGAGAAGTACCCCCAGGGAAAGCCCCCAGACCGCTTTTTGTTGGTACGCCCTGCAAGCGTGCGTTGCTCTTCCGTCGAGGATTCGATTGGAGGCTGGGGTGTGGGAGGAAGGCGCGCGCGCCCCCGAAGGTTACACTCGAGACTGCATCCTTCCCTTCCTCCCCATGTCTGCTCCTACTCATCCTTGTCCTCCTCCTCCTCCTCGTCCTCCTCCTCCCCCTCCCGCCCCCCTTCTATCCTCTCCTCTTCCTCCTCCTCCTCGTCCTCCTCCTCCTTCTCCTCCTCCTCCTCCCTCATCCTTGTCCTCCTCCTCCTCCCACCTTATATCCTCTCCTCTCCTCTCCTCTCCTCATCCTCCTCTTCCTCCCTGCCCCTCCTCCTCCCTCCTCATCCTTTTCCTCCTTCGTATCCTCCTCGACATCCTTGTCCTCCTCCTCCTCCTCCTCCTCCTCCTGTCTCCTCCTCCTCCTCCCTCCGATCCTCCTTGTCCACCTGCCTATCCGTACCCCTCCCCACCCCTATCCCTGTCGCAAGAGGGACAAGCGCTGCTTGCCCCTACGCCAACAAACCATGCGGGGTCTGCGGGGCCTCCTCGCCGTTGCTGCTCTGCTCCATGCCAACGCCAAACACACCGCAGAGCGGACTCTCCTCCCAACGTGTCACGCAGAGCAAGGACTACCATTGGAAACACAGTTCGACAACATCAACCATCACAAGGAGACACGGAACACTGAGGCCTCTATCTGCGAGAAGCGGGCGCCCTGCGGAACATGCCAATGTACAAACCAGCCTTACACGCTAATACACAACGCGATCCTTCCCCAAGGCACATGGTCAAAAAAGGTGTGTGTCAATGTACAAACCAGCCTTACACGCTAATACACAACGCGATCCTTCCCCAAGGCACATGGCCAAAAAAGGTGTGTGTGTGTGGAGACTGCCCACGTCGGCCCTTTCCGAACACCCGCTGGGTCTGGGTGGGGCAATGAAAGATCGGACGGTCGGCCGATTCGGGCGCATTCCCCGGGCGCGAGGCGGTACGCTACACGGTGGGCGACCAAAACAAACACGCCGTTGCCAAAGATTGCCAGCGGACCCACAAAAGGCAGCGGACGGGAGCGTGCCTCCAAGACTCCCTGGCGTCGCTTCTGCGGCCAGGGCAGGGTGGATTGAAAGAGTGATCCCCTCCGCTCGCCTCGAGAACAGCTGAGAGGGACCGCCGTGGTCGGCGACGGCGACGGCGACGGCGAATGACGGACTGCGACAAGGCGCGCCGCTGCGGCTGCCCCATGGGGCAGGAGATGGGGGGTGCTGCGGGGGCCCGCCAGAATCGACGACGATGACGACGGACGAGGACAAGGCCGTCCGCCACAAGGTGGGTGACCAAAACAAACAGGCCGTTACCCAGAGATTCCCGACGGATTCTCGGCAAAGATATACAAGGGTCCCACAGACGACAGCGGGCGGGGACGTGCCTCCACGATTCCGTGGCGTCGCTTCTCTGCGACAAGGGCAGGGTGGATTGCAGAAGTGGTGCCCTCCGTTCACCTCGAAAACAGCTCAAGATCGGCGGTGAGCGAGGGGGGAAGTGAGAAGGAGAAGGCCTTCTCAGAAAGCGGCGGGACTTCTCAGAAAGCATCCGGCCTTGAGAGGGCTGTTCTCTCTTCGGGGAAGGCTCCGAAACTTCTCAGAAGGCCGGGGGACTCCCGAACCTTCTGAGAAGGCCCGCCCCTTCTCACGTCCCTCTTTCGCTCGTCGCCGAGAGAATGACCGCCGTGGTCGACGACGGCGGCGACGACGAGAGGCAGACCGTCCTGGTACTCCTGTGAGCCAATCAAGACACGTTCACGGAACGACAACATGTTCAAACACCAAGACCAGTGTTCTCGTGCTCTCGTAACGTAAGACAGACACCTTAGGACACAACCGACTAAACCGAAACAAAACAATTCACCCTTCCGTATGAAACACAAGAGAAACGTCAAACGTTTTGGCTGGCCAGAAAACTTCGCCTTGTGGGGAAACCAAAAAAAACCGACGCCGCTACTCCCCGGACCTCTCCTGGGTTGTTTTCTGATTCTCATTTCGAGGCGAATCCAGCGGAGCGACGAAGGCCACCTAGGAGGCCTGAAAGGGGAAAACGAGGGAAGAGAACTCCAGATTTCGTAATTAAAGGGAGGGGGTCTGGACCCTCCAAGACAAGATATTTCAGACCTCCCCCGTGGGAGAACCCTCCAAAACATCGTCCCCAGACCCCCCAGGCCCTCCAAGATAGCCTGGAAGAGACCCCCCCCGAAATGAGACCCCCTCCCTTCTATTACGAAATCTGGAGTAGCGGTATCGGTACCTCCTTTGACCATCCGTCCACATCGAAACATTCCCTTTCACCACGGACGCCGGGCTGCCAGCGTTGCAGCCTGCGTGGCATCAGCTGGGCGCAGCGCACGCCGCTCCCGCGCGAGCGGGCGGCATCACACGTGGTTCCCGCCTCGGCGCCGCGTTACCTATTCTCTTGGGGCGGCGGGCGAGGGGGGGAAGTGAGAAGAAGAAGGCCTTCTCAGAAGGCGCGGAAGTCCCCCTGCCTTCTGAGAAGTTTTCTGAGCCTTCCCCAGAGATGCAAAACAACTCCTGAGAAGGCCGGAGAGCTTCTGAGAAGTCTCGCCGCATTCTGAGAAGGCATTCTCCTTCTCACTGTCCCCCCTCGCTCGCCGCCGATTGTAAGGTGAATTCTCGCACGGGCGCATTGAACACATCTTCGCTCGCCAGCGCATCAGAATCGGGGCTGCGCCCAAACCGGCAAAAAACGCCGTTGTCGCCGAGGCAGCCGCGTAGTTCATTGCTGGAAGTTGTGTGTCCCGCCTTGGCGGGGCAGGAGAACTCAGAATCGAATCGGTAAGACGGCTCGGCAATCGAATCAAATCGGATCCGGGAAAATCGGCAGCCGAGTCGGGCAAAATCGAATCGGCGGAAATCGGCAGGCTAGTAGGCCTCCGTTGAGAAATGGGAGCCCGAATCGGAAACCGAAGTCGAATCGAATCGGAAGTCGAATCGAATGGAATCGAATCGAAGTCGAATCGAAGAATCAAGACGAGCCCTGGCCTGGGCGCTCGGCGCCCGCGTGTTCGATCGCCGATCCGGCTCCGGAGCCGCCCACGACGAGGCCATGGCCCGATAGGCAGGTGCGCGGACGAAGGGGATGGTGCCGAGGGGACGAATCGAAAGAAGAATGTTGGGACATGAAATCTGAAAACACCCCTTCCTCCTCGTCCTCCTCGTCCTCTTCCTCCTCCTCCTCCTCCTCCTCCTCCTCCTCCTACCTCCCCCTCCTCCGCCTCCTCCGCCTGCTCCTTCTCCTCCTCTTCCTACCTCCCCCTCCTCCGTCTCCGCCTCCGCCTCCGCCTCCTCCGCCTCCGCCTCCGCCTCCGCCTCCGCCTCCGCCTCCTCCTCCTCCTCCTCCTCCTCCTCCTCCTCTTCGTGGCCCCAGCCATGCTGTCCACGCACACCCTCGTGTGCACACCCGCAGCCATCAAAGAGGAGCGAAGCATGGCCGTTGGCCATCCAGCGGAACGACGCTCTCATCGGCAGGCCCTGATTCTTCTCCGCATTTCGGCGGCGCGCCCGAGGGGGAAGTGAGAAGGGGGCGGGCCTTCTCAGAAGGCTCGGAGGTCCCCCGGCCTTCTGAGCAGTTTTCAGAGCCTTCCCCGAAGGCGCAGAACACCTTTGAGAAGGCGCGGGGGCTTCTGAGAAGCCCCGCCACCTTCTGAGAGGGCCCTTCTCCTTCTCACTCCCCCCCAAGGCGCGCAGCCGAATTTCGTTTCCGGGTCAAGACTCAGGTCTCCGGCGCCCGTTCGGGACGATCCCGGCACCCCCGGAGCGCTCCCGGCGAGGCGCAGCCGCTGGAACGCCTCCCGAGGCCGGCAAACCGCCGGAAAAGGGACGAAAGCGCCCGAAAACCTCTAACCTCGAACCCGAAAACGTCCTCCCCTCGCTCGCTCGCCGCCGCTCTCCTCCCTCCCTCCGTCCGCTCGCCGCCGGCCATTGGCCAGGCAGCGGAACGACGCTCTCATCCGCAGGCCCCGATTCTCCCTCCAGTTGCTCTTCGCGCTCGGGGGCGCGGCCCGTGCGCTCTCCCTGCACGGTCGGGGGTCAAGGCCGCGCGCGCGCAGGCCCCAGCGCCTGCAGTGCAGGTCGGCAGGGAGGGGCTTCGCGCACGGGCCCCGCTTCCCGCCTGGTGCATTGGCTCGCATCTCAATGGAGGGAAGGTGGGATGACAGGAGATGCGTCGACCCCTATTCCAGGCTTCGTGGGGTTTTCGAATGGGCCAGCAACGTGAGGCCCAACCCTGGGATATACGATGGGGGGGCGCCCAGGCTCGACGGGGGTGCGTCCGACTAGCCCCCTTGGGGCGTAGCCCAGAGTTTCCCCCCCCTTTCTGCTCGGCCAAACTGTTAGGGCGGAGCTTGGGGATAGGGTCGTGGATGTCATGACGATGGACACTGTTACTGTTCCATCATTGAAGCAACAATGTCGTTCAAGTGTCTTCTACATGTTTAAAACATGTTCGGAACAAAAGAGGTTCAAACCATGCCTCAGCATTTTAAAGACATGCCTGAAACATGAGTTCGACACCTGGCAAGTGTTTAGCAACATGCCTGCGGAGAAAAATATCCACACAGACAAGGGGAGAAAGATATCCACAAAGACAAGGGGAGACAACAAAACAATATATGGCAAAAAATCTAGACATCCACAATCGGGGATCTGCTCACCCGGGTCAATCCAGACCCCGGTCAATCAGGCCTTGCAAAGTCCTGCAAGATCCTGCACCCAAACCCGGGTCAATGCGAAGGATCCTGCAAGATCCTGCACCCAAACCCGGGTCAGTGCGACCCTGGCCCTGCAGGATCCTGCAAGATCGGGCGCTCTGGCCCACCCCCGTTTGCATCGACCCCCACCTCCTGAGCCCCGAACAGAGCCAGGGGAAGAAACAGTTGCCGGCGAATGGGCAGGGGGCCCGCATGCCATAGTCAAGCGTCTGTCATAGGTAACGTGCCACGACAGCTTGTTGTCTGGTGACTCAGAGAATTCGAAGATCTGCCAGATATTATCCCATTGCAGGACATTGTCCGTGAATATTTGGCCCGTTGGCAAGATCCAATGTGGGTGTGCCTCCAAGTGTCGTGAGCTCGTGCGCCGCCGGCTGGCTTTTCCACCCCTGCGCTCACCGCACAACTGCTCCCGCCCTCTCAGGGGCTGGGGAGGAGCCCCGCGCCGCCAGGGGAGCGCGAACGCCTGCGCAGGCACACGGCGGGCTCGTGCCGTGACGACCCCGGCGTTGGTGTCTGGCACTGCGTGGATCGTCCTTCCTCCTTCTCCTCCTCCTCTTCCTCCTCTTGATCAATTTAGCCGGCGCAACGTTTCACCCATTGCTGCCTGTGATTTCTAGACCTTGTTTTCCTGCCCGCGCGCCGGACGGCGTACGGCTTGTGAGTGACTGCGTGAGTGGATCGGTTCAAACCTTGAACGATCGGCGGCTTCTCGATCGCCAGGTCGTTCCAGATCGGTCCGATTCTGGGCCGCTGGCGGCGTGAAGCCTTGGGCGCCCGCGGCGGGGTCGCGGCGAGTCGGCACGCCGCGAACCTGCCGTGCGCGCTCGGAGCTTCGGACGACCGTCTTGGATCGGCACTGGGCCCTCTGCCCGCCGTGCAGAGCGCGCCAGGGGCGGCGTTCGGGGGGGGGGTGGGCAGCGCCGATCCAAGAAATCCGCGCGGAGCGCAGAACGCGAATGTGTGTGTTTGTGTGTGTGTGTGTCGCTTCTTCTTCCAGTTCAGCATCACCATCAGCACCATCATCACCACCATCGCCGCCACCATCACCATCACCATGACCCGGCGGATCATCAGCATAACAATTAGTACCATCATCATCATCATCATCATCATCATCATCATCATCATCATCATCATCATCATCATCATCATCATCAGTACCAGTATCATCATCATTACAATAGTGAATACCAGTATTAACATCATCAGTACCATCATCATAATGAAAGCCAATCTTCACATCATCATTTCCGTCAGCGTCATCCTCATCATCGGCGGAGGCGGCATCGCCACCAGAACCACCATCGTATTCAACATCATCATCATTATCACCACCACTATTATCGTCAGGCTCACCACCACCACCACGACAATCATCACTATCATCACCAAAACCATAACCATAACCATCACCATCAACACCATTATCATCAAAATCATCATCGGCGGCGGCGGTGGCGGTGGCAACAACATCAAAGAGATAATCCGATGCCCCCGCCCCGCCGTCACAGAGTTCACCTGCAGCGACGCCTCGGCCTCGAACTTCGTGGAGACGGCCTGCGCGCTATACTCTCTGAGCCCCCCGCCTGCGGCAAGCTCGTGGTCTGGCGGCCTGCGAAACGGTGCGAGGGTCGTTCAATGTGGATCGATCGCGGCAATCCGATAGCGCCGCTCCCTAGAGAAAAGAAACCTGGACGGACCGCGGCCTTCCGATAGTGCCGCTCGCCCAGGTTCACCATCATATGATGCGTCACGCCAATTTCCGCTCGTCGTGCATTCAATGCATATCGGCGAAAAACGTCCAATAACGCGCAACATTGCGCGCACCGCCCGAACGGGTCCCAATAACGCCTAATGCCACCACATGAAGATGCACTACGTCCGCTTTGCGCTTTACTTGGGTAAAGTGCGAGGAAGTCTCGGGCGGGAGCGCGAGTCTTCAATAACATGTGAGGAATTATCCGGCGGGAACCGTTGTTGTTGTGGTAAACCGGGGGGCCGTCGACACAGTTTGACCCTCAAGATTTTGCCTGATAAAAAAAAACATGGTGCGAGCCCTGGGAGGGGTACTTCAATTGAAAAAAATATAATGTGCATCGGGTGGGGGGATCAACAATACTTATTCTTCAGAAATGAGAGTTCAACAACAACAACAACCGAACATTAAATATTCTTGCCTCGAAGCGCGCGCCTCTTGGGCCGTGTAAGGGGCCTCTAGGGCAGTCTTGGGTGGCCTCTTGGCCGTTTCGGGGGGATGCCTCTCGGGCCGTGCTAGAACGTCCGGAACACGAAACGTCGAGAAGCCGAGAAGCCTTCTAAAACCAACGGCAAGTGGACGCGGGTCTTCTCTTGGAGCACTCCTGGGGGCTCTGGGGGGCCGCTTGGGCCGTCTTCAGGGAAACAAGCAATGACGTAAACATAAAAACTCGGAAATCCGCGCGGATTTCTCGGATCCGCGCTGGCCCCACCTCCATGGCGCGCGGAGCGCGCCAGGGGCGGCGCCGGAGGCGCCGCCAGGGGGTCCCAGCGCCGATCCGAGGAATCCGCGCGGACCTCCGAGTTGTTGTTTTTATGTCATTGCTTATTCCCCTTAATCTTGGGCCTGCCTTTGGCGTTTTCGGGCGCTCTCGGACATATCCGTGCATCTCTCGCCGAGCTGCCCCGAGCCCGCTCGGAGGGCGGTGGCCCCCAATGGCGGGTGGAGGTCCCTGGGCCAGAGCCCCAGGCCCTCGTCCCCCAGGATATATATATATATATATATGTATACACATGCACGTAGGTATGTCTGTATGTCTATATGTGTACATGTTTGTTTGTATGTATGTATACATGTACGTATGTATATGCATATGTAAATTAATATGCGAATATGCGTATGTATATGCATATGTATGTGTATATGCATATGTAAAATTGTATGTATGTGTATATGCATAAGGATGACTACATCTACATGTATGTATGTATGCATGTCTAAATATGTATGCATATCCCGTCGCCCGACTTTCTGCAGCTCGCTGCGCGCAGAAGTGCCCGCAACAATCTCGATCGAGGCCATCCCGGATGAGCAAGGGCCCCTCAGAGCGTGGCTGCCGGAGTGCGTCCTGACCAGAATCTCGAGGGGAATCCAGCGGTGGCAACGAGGGCCTCCCAGGAGGCCCAGAAACGGCGAAAACTGAGGGAAGGGTCGCGGTATAGGTACCTTTTCCTCCTCCGAATGACTGCTGGGTCCGAGTCGACTCCGAGGGGAGGAGCCACGGTGAGCGCTCCCCTCTCTTGCGCTGAGAGCACCAATCGTCGTGCTACAGGCCTCGGAGAAAATAGCGAACACGCATGCCACATTTATCGCTCAACACCTCCCCACTCCCCAATGTTCAAAGTTGGCAGTGGGTCTGGTCAGTTGCACTTCGCGCAGTCTCCCCCTGCGCGTGCTATCTTTGAGTTTGGGGTAGCGGAGGGGTGTCCACAAACTGTTCCCCCCTACCGTACCACATCTCAGGAGAGCCCGAGAAGAAGAACGACGCGGGTCTTCCGGCCAGGGCGAGCTGCGGCAACGGCGACCGGTTTCGTGACTGCATCGGGGGGCCGGAGGCACACATGAAGACCTGAGCGGCCGAACAAGTCGACGCAACGAATGCATCTATAGATACAGATGTATACATAAAGGTATCTACAGACACCTTCCGACGAATTTGCACTTACCTTCAGGGAGGGCGGCGGTGCATAAGGTCGCTGACTCCCGGTGGTAATGTATGCACCGCCACCCTCCCCTTAGGCCCAGGAGCAATCCATTTTGGAGGGTGTCTGAGTACACATTCTTGTGGCAGAAAGTCTGGTCTGGACCTGGGGGTTCGCGCACTACACACTGGTGGCGTGCTTCCAAGAGAGCCACAGCAGACAGTGGAGAAGCCATTGGATGTGAAAGATGGTGATGGGACGCACAGAGACACACTGATAATACTAATGCTGTATGTCCTTCGTGGAGGAGCGCGTCCCGCCCGAACATGTAGGTATACCCATCTTGCGGTACATCGCTTCCCGATCGGCGTGGCCAGAAAGCGCCCGCCACGACGCAGATGCTACGAGACATCTCGGCATGCGCGTCGCCCCTGAGGGGTCGACGCGCACACAGTACAGCGGGGGCCCTTCCATAAGAAACCTTCCACAAGAAACCCAACCACGAGACCCAAAGGACGTCCATTGAACTTTGGTGTGGAAGCGTCACGCGTTCCATAGCAAAACCATCGAAACCCGAGAAACCCAGGGCATCCTGGAGGCAAGCAGGGTGTTTGTTGGCGTGGGCCCCCACTGTACCAATATGTTGGGGTGGTGCCGAAGAGGGATGATGCTGAGACGCGCACGCAAACAAGCAACTCTGATTCGGGCCTTCCGGGATGCGACCACCCAGACCATCGCCTGCGCAATGTTCAGTAGCAAGCGCAAAGGCCGACGAAAGAGAGGCACCAAGACATGATGAGCAGTACCACTGCACCAGCATTGCATGCACGGTCCTGCTGAGGTTCAAGACTTGCGAACACAGTGCAATGCCAGATCCACGCGTTCCCTTGTGAGACGATCGCCCATTTTTGCATGTGCAAAGACATACTGTGCATCTCACCGCGCCACCCTGCCGACCTTCTGCCCATAAGCAGACACCTCTCCTGAGATCCGATGGTGCAACAATATTGGAAAATCGCGCAACGTCACTACCATAACCCTAGACTCAAACTTTCTGCTGCATCTTTCAGGCCAAATCGGTCCGTAATGGTCCCAAAGCCCAATGTGAAAATGCCGTGTGGGAGTACCATGTGGGACCTGCTCTGGAACAATAACATGCCGTAGACGGATCGGATCTTTCTCCAACCTTGCACTGCGCCGAACGCAACTGCAACATTGTCTATAGACATACCCACCCATAATGTTCCTATTAGATGTAACGGCATCCAACATGAGAACCGTATTTTACATAGGCCCCAGGTATTGGTCTTCTAGATGTGGCCAATATTTGCATCCAGATCCAGTACGTGCTGGCCTTTCTTGGAGGGGATGCCAAAAGGCCGAGGCGCACTGGATTTGGAGAATAAGTGCATCTCGAGGGGTCAGACTTTTATCGATATTTAAAAACATCGCCTCGGGCTTCTGGGCAAGGACCCCAAGCTGCCATGGACATGGACACACACCTTGCCCGCACCGGAAGCAGGCCGACTTTGCCCTCGAGGCTTGGTGTGAACAATGCAGCGCCTGGATCTCAGGCTCTGGCATGTGCTGGCGGCGCGCGCAGGGGGGTAGGGGGAGGGGGGAAAGCTTCTTGGAAGGATACCCCAGATTTCGTAATAAAAGTGAGGGGGTCTGGACCCTCCAAGACAAGCCATTTCAGACCTCCCCCGTGGGAGAACCCTCCAAAACATCGTCCCCAGACCCCCCAGGCCCTCCAAGATAGCCTGGAAGAGACCCCCCCCCGAAATGAGACCCCCCTCCCTTTATTACGAAATCTGGAGTATTGCTTCTTAGACGGCGCAGGCCTTCCATCTGTAGACAAGGCCCGCGCCTTCTGAGAAGTAGGGGTGCTTCCAAGAAGCCTTCCCCCTTTCCGCTGCCACCCGCTGCGCGTGGCCGGATGTGTGCGTGCGCGGCTGGCACATCGCAGCCCACAGGAACCACTGTGTTCCACGACATAAGCCTCCCTTTTCGATGTGCTGGGTGCCGCCCCTACTCTGCACCGTTGGCGCGTGCACCCGGTGGATTCTTCTGCTTGACATCGCTTGGACGTCCATAGTTAGCGTTTTCATAGTCAGCGTTTCGACATTGGGCGGAAGGGGGTGGGGTAAGGGGGGATCTGGCTCTGGACCTCTGCTGAATGCCACCGTTTGCAACAGTGCGTGCTGGGGTCCTGGGGGGAGGCTCCACCTGCGCGAAACAGGCGCCAAAAGCAGCCAATTGCACTCCATAGGGGGGGGGTGCGAGGGCCCGCGGGGAGGAGGAGGAGAAGGAGGAGAGAAGGAGGGAGGAGGGAGGAGGGAGGAAGGAGGAGGGAGGAGGAGGAGGAGGAGGAGGAGGAGGAGGAGGAGGAGGAGGAGGAGATGAGGATGAGGATGATGATGATGAGGAGGAGGAGGAGGAGGAGGAGGAGGAGGGAGGAGGAGGGAGGAGGAGAGGGGGAGGAGGAGGAGGAGGAGGGGGGGAGGAGGAGGAGGAGGGAGAGGAGGAGGAGCAGGAGGAGGAGGAGGAGGAGGAGGAGGAGGAGGAGGGGGAGGAGGAGAAGGAGGGGGAAGAGGAGGAGGAGAGGAGGAGAGGGGGGGGCGGCCCGCGCTGGTCGGCAAAACCATGAGTGAGAAAACTATCACATTCCCCGTGCATGGTTTGGTTTCTGCCCCGAGAGGTTCTAAGATGCTCCAAGATGGAGCCGGAGATTCTCTGGCGTTGGCCTGGCCGAAAGACATGCGTACCCATCGGTCGGAAGGGATTGAACATAGATTGGGTGTGCACCCGCCCCCTAAAGAGGACGGAAACTGTGAAGTCACTCGATCATTGAAGCACGAAGGCGCTGAAAGAGGATTGGAATATGGGACACCAAAAATACCTGCTCTAATTGACCGATGGGTACATGTCCGAGCCAGGCCAAGGCTTTCATAGAAGAAGTGGCAGCTGCAGAAACATAGTTAACCTGTCGGAGGACCGCGCGAATCTCTTGCATCGGCAGAACGGTGGCCCCCCCCCCTGGGCGCGCGGAGCGCGCCCGGGGCGGCGCCGGAGGCGCCGCCAGGGCAACCCGAGCGCCGACCAGGAAGTCCGCGCGCGGATCCTCGACAACTCATGTTGGTGCTGGTTTCCGTCTTCGATTCTAGCATGTCCATATCGCGACGGGGATGAGACAGAACAGAGCTATGTTGAGCAGGGGCCGACCGTCCCAACATTCCTATAAGCCTACCACGCAATGCTCTTAGAACCCCCAAAATGTTCGAATCACAAAAACAATGTTCCTAGAACGTAAACCCCATGAGTTAAATCATACCAATATCGGCAAGACATGTTCTAAGAACAATTGGTGCAAACCGCAAAGAACCTTGGAACATTCTTTGGTGGGCCTACAGGCAAGCTGGGGCGCTTCGCCACTGCTTGAGATTAAGCCGATGCCAGGACGAGGACAAAATCGGGTGAGGACATATCGAGAATCTCCAAGATAGGGCGGCTCTGAAAGATGCCTCGGGCGCCGCGGCCTTCTCAGAGCGTTCCGGAGCGCTCTGGAGTTTCGGAACTCTCTAAATCGGATTTATCCTCGTCCCAGCCCCGCCGGAAGATTCTGCGATCTGCACTCAGACAGCGCCATGACTACAACATGACACGACATAGTTCATTCCTCCATACATCATATGCTTCCCAAATAAATTGACCTCACAATCTGCAACTCACAAACTAGAAAGACTCACGATTCACTTGGATTTGTCGGGCGATCGGTCAACGCGTACCGACGCCAACCGGAATGAAGATACAATGCATGAACCAAACGTGGCAAAATATCTAAGTGGACAACTGCATCACAAATGCAACTGGCACCTGCGAAATCGCGAGGGTCGCAGCGATGTACGGATTCACCTCTACACCTCGGCAAAAGCGAACTGTGAGATCGCGGAGCAGTTCCACGTGGGCAAACACCATACGTAGACTAACTCTGAAAAAAGCTGACCCTGGTTGGCTATGGTGATCAATCTGGTGTGCGATCACGTCCAGCCGATCTAGTTTCCAATAAGTATTTACGGGCCAACTGCGGAATGGAGTGAACAACCGTGGGGCTGATTCTCTCCACCGTAATTGCAACTGGACAACATATCACTACATATAGAGCAATGCGCAAAACGTAAAAAAGGAACCATCAACATCTGCGACTACAATCACACTGCTACTACAATATCACTACCAACTTCACTAACGCATCGACGTAAGCCGGAAAACCAATCAGTATACTTATCCTTACGCCTTGCGCACTTCGAACTAGCTGCGAACACCCGACTCTCGTTTTGAGTCCACACTTCCGATATATCATGTATGTGCGCACGCTGGGACATCGTGTTTATTGCGAAGCGGAAATTAAATAAAACTCAAGACTGCGGTCGTCAAGAAACGCAACAACATGAACCGACATACCATGGCTGTCTGGTTTCAGTTCGTCCCGTGTGATTATATGTTGTTTTGAATTCTCCCGTTCTCTGTCTCTGTCTCTGTGCTGTTTTGGTGTATCTTTCTATATCTCTGTCCTACCGCACACGCATGTATGAATGCCCATGCTGTGAATGTGCGGGGTAAGTCCACGGATCCGTCCCTAACATGCTGACGTGCCTGCGGCTATGAGAACATGCACTCGTCAGGCCCCAGCTCATACTCTCGCGCCATAGCGTAAGAGGAAGTGGACGACGCACTGTCGCCAAAAAGTCAAGGTCAATGGTCCAAGCGCCCTTGGCTGACCTGTTTCAGGCAGAGTGCAGGATTCAATCCTGGGTTAATATGGTGCGAAGTCAGGGTCAATGGACAGAGAGTCCAGGGCAAGTCCTGGGTCTGGGGATAGTCTGTAATGTTACAATCGCCCCTGCAGTTGTGCATCATAATGAAGGAGGGGCGGAGGATCGTCGACAGTCTGCGAGCCGTAGCCCGCCTCGGAGTCATCGCCCGTCGAGCCATCGCTGTTCCTGTGGGTGACCCTCGGGAGGCGGGATCACGGGCCGCGCGGCGTGCCAGCGCCGAGCTGCATCACGGACGCAGGGTATTGAGCCAAACTTGAGCAAAAATGGCGACGGAAACAACGCTATCCCCAAGATGGGGGATAGCACGTCGTAAGCGAGCCGGCGGCGGCGGCGGCACATCGCACGCTGTAACTTCCCAACACCAAAACGTACGTGCAGTCGCCTCTCCTCAAGGCTAGGTCGGGCGTGTCCCCCTACAGGCAGATTTTGAAGGAAAAATGAAATCGATCCCCAAAATATGCAAAACTTGTCAAACAATAATAGAAAAGTCGTCCCCAGGTGTTTTTTTTTTGACCATTTTTGAATATTCCTCCTGTAGGAGGGACCTGCCCGACTTAGCTCTAAGGGCGCTCTGGCCAAGACTTCTGGGCGGATCCAGCCGTGGAGAGACGAGGGCCTCCGAGGAGGCCGCAGGAGGAACGACTGTCGACCACCCAGAATCTGGAAGCCCGAGCTCGCGCTCCAAGAACCTCCATCCTCGAAGCTCGAGGCCAGGACGAGGGAGTGGCATCGACGTCGATCGGGAGACGCCAGCTATCCACCACGCGGACCCCGGTCGGCCCCAGCCCGAGCAGACGCTCGGTACACACGCCCTTTTGGGCTGGGCTGGGGAGGCATGCGCACCGCTCCTCGGCCCAGGCTGGGCCTGGCCCAGGTCGGCTCGCAATCGAAGCATGGCCG